CGAACTCCGCGTCTCGACTCCTTTACTACCTCCGCCATCCGGCTGTCGGCATACAATTAACTAAAATTAGAAACATCGATAAGATCGGTGCATTATTTTTTCTTGTCAATTATCATTGATGTATATGAAATTATAAGTCAAAGAAAACGTCGAGAAATTACAGAATCTCTGCAGATTAAATAGCGACCTCTGATGGTATATTTAGGAAACTAAAGTGGATAATTTACCTCATGCACTGAAAGTATTCGGTAACCTAGTTTAAAATATTTTGTTTTTATTTTCATAAAGTATCAATAGATGTGGAAACTTTTCAGACAAACTGGTGAGCATTTATTTCTTTCGTATTTTTAGTCTCGAAGATTAACTGTCATTTTAAACAACGCAATGAGCATAATTTTGACATTAAAAACCAAGAATATTTTCGAAATTGTGCATGTGATGAATGACAAAAATAACACAGTCAATGCAAAATCTTATTAATCGTATTGAATTATTTAACAAAAAGGAAAATACGATTAAACATGAAAACGTATTACAATATTCATATAAAGTTTCCAGGGACGTGGGTAGATCGGTCCCTTTTGCCCCTGTGGGTATGCTCTACGACACTGATAAGGTGGTCCCAAACGTCTCATTCGAAGCTTGAATTGAGCATCATTACTGACCCCTAAGTTTTCTCCAGCTTCTCGACGGTCCTGAATTTTACTTAAAAGTTTACATTTTATGATCTTAAAAATTCTTTATTAATAATGATACAAGATAAACTCTTTACGCAATATTTATATCGGATATTTGTTGGATCGGTTTCAAATCGTAATCTAATAAGATCAAATTTAGCACAGTCTGCTGATATGTGCAAAATTTAGTGTAATGAGTTATGCAATGTATCATATTATGTACTTTTTGTACAGGATTTTTTATTTTATTTTATTTTTTTTNTAATTTATTTCTCTTCAAATTTTAATATTTATGATTAATGAATATTTTTTATATGGTTCTGTTTATTAAGTTCCATTTTAAAGGTCAAACAGTTCAAAATTTATAAGTTTTATTAATAGAAAATTTGATTCTTCTTGTTTTTTACCACTAGTGTAGTATGTTTGCATAGGGATCACTTTTTCAAAATTGCTTAAATCGATCCCTGTGGTTTGTAGTAAATTTGCAATATAGATTTTTAAAGTAGATAGAAATTTTATCCTCTCCATTTACATGAATGTGAAATTGTGTAAACAATTACAAACATTTCCATTTACTTTGATAAATTGTTATGAGATAAATGATTTTTGAAGTATGCTTATGATAACTAAATGCCACTCTTAAATATAAAATGTTTTTAAAAAGATTTTATTAACTTGTAATGTGGATTTGTTAAATTCAAAATATGAAAGGAAAGGTATGGTTAAATAGGTGCTGACTACAATTTTTAAAAGTAATCAGTGTGAGTCAAAGAGTGCCTGTAAGCAGACTTGGCCTGCTTTTGAGTAGTCTAATGAAAGTTGTACATATATAATTGTGATTTTGTGTATTTAAAGTACACTACAAGTGTACTTGTAAAAAGTGTAAAATAATTGAGTGTTTCAAACACTGCAGGATTACAATTTCTTGCAACAAGTAAAGCTTTTAGTTATTTATTTATCTTCTTATGTGATTTGATGCACCTGGATAAATGTTATGAATGGGAAAAGAACAGGGTGTCATTATTGGAAACTTGTAGTGTTTCTAAATAGTTGTATATTTCTGGCTGATGATGTATTTGTATGTATCTTCATATAAAAGTTGTAAATAAAGTGATTTATAATGATTAGGCTATTTTGTATTTCGAAACTTTGTAAAATTCATTTTATCAAAATACAAACTAAGTAAAAAGCAAAAATAGTTAATTAAATTTAAAATTTTTATTGAGCAAAGCTCTTCATAAGTCAGAAATTGTTTGTCTGTGATCGAAGTGCAAAGCAACTACACAATCATCAAACATAATTTTTTGCAAATATGTACAACTTGGCAAGACCAGTGTCATGACAAACCTGGAATTTTGAAATTCGATCAAAATTCACCATGTAAAGTCTATGGGCAAATTGCCAGTTGTAAGCTGGTTGTGTGCTACTTGTCAATCAAGTGTTCAATTGCTGGAAATTTACATTGATTTCTACAACAATTTTTTATTTTGATCTTTACAACAAGTGTTTAACATGGGTTTAAGCCTGCAACTGCACACGTGCATATTTTAAACGTTTCTTGGTGTTTTTGTTGATTATGACATTGGACATGCACATCCTCCCTCAAACCTGCATGTTTTAAACTGCCTTAGACAAAGCATCAGAAGCAAATCACCATATTTGTGTTTTCTTGTGAAGCTGAAACAGAAAAACCTATGCCACAGAGTGCAGTTTTGTTTTCCTGGAAAATACTAGTAATTTTCCAAAAGACTTAGTGTAGAATGTCTTGGAATCAGACAAATGAACCAAAAACAAAGTAAAATAAATATTTTTATCCTTGTTTTCATTCAGAACATGACTATACTCAGTGCCGGCCTGAGGCAAGTTTTAGGATGGAGTGAGATCCTATTATGGCGCCCCCTTGGCTGCCCCTAATTTATACTCTTTAATTTTCTTTAACACTGAGGCGCCCCATAGGACTTAGCGCCTGGAGCAGCTGCTCCGTTCGCCCTATGGTAGGGCCGGCTCTGACTATACTATTTGTATTTTAATTCATTGTGCTAATATATAATAAGTAAATTGTTTTTTAATTCTTAAATAATTAAATAAAAAGCTAATAAAATATTTTACTGTTTCAATATTTTCATTAAATACAAATGAATGTTTTCAAGAATATGATTAAAGTAGAGAATCAACTATTCGAACAGAACCCGGCCATACTTGATGAGGTGAATAAAAGAATTAACTGTTTTCATTAAAACTTTTTATAATGATTTTACTAAATGTCGTTCAGTAACATGACGATAATTTAAAATATATTTTGATATAAACGTGGATTGTTTACAGCATCAAAGTTGACGGCAATTTCCTCTATAGCGATTTTGCTAAATTATATGATTACAGGCCTACGGTAACATATAGGTGAACTATCTATATTCATCCTAAACAGTTTGTGGGTATATGGCCTTTGCAAATCTTACAGTCGAGGCAGTTCTATCACATACGGCAAAGTCTTCTGTTTTATCTATAAGGATGCATCAGAGGGCTTTGCCGTATGTGGTAGAATTCTAAGGAGTGAGATAATTGTAGGGTTTTAGACGAACCCTACAGTTTCCATACTGCTTAGAAATAAAAAAGACGCCATTGAGAAAAAAATAGTGCCTCGGCCGAAACAACTTCAAAGGTTAGAAATGTACAAAGCCTTTGGGAGAAGAACAGTAGTTCACTTCGAGGAGACAGACTCTATTTCCTCAGGCTAGAGAGCGTATAAAAAATTATAAGTGAAGGTTTCTTCTTCCAATACCAAGACTAGTGATATCTATCACGTCTTTCTTAATTATGCATAATTAACAGAAACCGAGATTAAAACAGTTCTGTTTATTTCGCCTATTTAACAATTCATTTCGGATTGGTAATTTTCCATTCCGTATTCGTTCTCGCGGCGTCAGTGTCTAAAGTTGTTGTCTACTGTGATAACCACCAGCGAATTAAAGTGTTATTATTTCCGTTTTTTCGTGAACGAAACAATGATTAACAAACACTTTCTTGTTAATTTACAAACTATTCTTTAATTCGCTATATGTTATCAGGTTCTTTGTACAGTATTGGACCCCAACATGTAGGCGATGAGGATACAAAATCTGAGATACATAACTCAATTTTTTTTTATAAGTGCCTATATATATATTTAATCTACTTACAAACTATAAGAAGGAAAGAGAGGGAGAATATAAGGATAGAATAAGAGGAAGATGGAAATACCCGGGTTTTTTACTCTGGATGCTCCGTGATACTGGGTGGGATTACTGTCGTCTCTGATCATCTACTCCTGTCATAGAGGCTTTCCTCGGTTCTTTCTTCTCCTTCTTTAACGGATCTCTCCTGTTCTCCTTGTGGGGATGAGGAGTTGTAGACACCACTGTGGGGAGGTGTTGACCTTTCAGTTAAAGGTGAACTGAAACCCTCGCTTTGCCCGCGATCGGTCAGATGACGCGAGAAAGCCCTTTCCGTATGGGGGTAGTGGTTTGCAGGACGCAGAGAGACTCACACAGAGACCGTATTTACACAATCAATGCGTTTATTTGTATGGAAAATCATGCTTACAATGGGTTACACAATCCAGGGAGGTAGGTCCCGCACAGCAGAGAGAGAGTTGTCTCGACGATTATGGGTCCCACGTGTAGAGAGTTCGTCTCCGTTGATACTGGGCAATGGTCCGAAGAAGGTTCATCTCCAGCACAGTCTTGGACGTTGGAAAGATGGAGAACCATCACGGGAAAGTCCGTTCTAGCTTTCAGAGCTTGGGATCCTTCATTGCCTCGGGTCTCCTGGACTGACGCTCTCGAACATCACCTCGCAACCTCCCCGTGTTCTTGGGATTTCAGGCTTCTATAACCTTTTTCCCCCCGAAATCCCGAGATTTTGGTTGGTCCGAATGCTGGTCCCCTTCGATTCTATTGGTTCCTGGTCTGTTGCCAGGGACGTGATTGGGCCACGTGGTCGCCGAACATCCCCGTCCGGGCCGTTCCCCCTCCGGAGTCGGGTCAAGCCCTTTCCCGGATGACGGACCCGTAAATCTTACCTAATGTCTGTTTTTCTGTCCCGGGGGAGACGCAGCTGTCCAGCCACCGCCCCTCCACAGGAGTGTCAGCAGGTCTCACTTTGAACTTTCTGTAAGGTGACCGTCCAAAGTTACTCGGCGGACGACCCCTCTCTCGTTCTCACGATTGACGATCGCGGATTTGTCAATTAGGTTTGGAATGCGACAATTATATCGTCTCACACCCCATTCCTTGGTCACACCGGCCCTATTTACGTAATAAGTTACCGATATATTGACTTTAGCTCGACAGCCGGTTTCCGTCCGGAGGGTATGTGGTCCCGGCCTCACATCCTCGTCGATAATCCACTTTCTTCAATATTGTCGGTGTTGCGTCTGTCCAATAAAATTGGCAGTCTAGCAGGAAGTTCTTGACCTCCTTTAATGGGCTGGATAGCTTCTTCTCCTTGACTTCCCTCGTCGAGTTTCACTTTTCTTCTCTGTTCCGATTCAGAGCTCGATCCCCCGTCGACCTTTTCCGTTGACAGCCCAGATCCCTTCTCGTTTTTATTACTTTGTTTTTCTCCTCCTGTTTTCATTTTACAACGTTGTTTTTGACACCACTCCCCACTAGATAGTAAAGTAATTAAGAAATTAAGTCTTTTTTTCTTGGTCAACAGGAAAGGGATAGAAACAAAGAAAACCTTAAGCCTAACCTACATTTANTAGGACCTTAGTTCATAAGAATTGTTGTACATAAGTTAAGTTTTTGAAAATTTTGTCAAGTTCCAAAGGTGAATAGATTTAAGTTAGCAAATAGATTGATTTAAGTTTTGTCGGGTTGATTCTTATTGATTTTCATTGAATAAATTGTTGTTTGATTTGTTACTAAAATTTGTACATAGTTATTACTAGAATTATTATAAAATATTGAATTTGATTTTGACTAACTTTGTCATTATTTAATTTGGTGCACGCTTAATTAAAGTCCAGGCCTGGCACATTAACGCGAATCCGCATAAAGTACCTGTTAGGTCACGGCTATTTCTGGCACAAAGTTGTGTCGCTAATCATTGTAAAAGGCGTAAAAATAATATAGTACTTTACATGCCAATTTTATGGTGTTGCCAGTTCATACACAGTTTTTGATTTCGACACTTGCTTTAGTTTAGTATTCCCTAACACTTTTGCTAATCTGGCCATTCCTTGCACAGAAGGGTTACAGATTAACAAGAATGCCAGATTACTGAGAATGTTTAGGTCTAAAAGCAATGGATGATGTGACCTGTTGCATAATAGTCCAATTTGATAGCTATATCATGAGCATAATGGATGGTGGCCATATCTGCCCAGATGACATATCTTTGATCAGGGTAGTATTTCTTTAGGAAGGGAATTAATCTCTTCTAAATGCATTCATTGCCAAAGACTTCTTCAGTAGTAAGAAGGGCCATGAGGGGGCATTGAGTGCCAGTAAACATCACTTTAGACTGATTTCCAACCAAACCAGAATCTTTGGCATAAACTTGAAGTGTCATTTGAATTTGACTTGAGGATCCACATCTAGTTCTTCTTTTGTATGTTATTATAATTTTACTAAACTTTGTTTATTTTAATTTGTTACTTGCACATTCTCTTCTGTCAAAAGTGAAATAAGATTCATCACCCATAACCACATCAAGATTGTTTGATGTCTTTGAGACTTCATCACACAGCTTCTGCATAAGGACTTTTTTAGTAGCAGATTGCTTCAGTGTGCATTTTAGAGCAGACTTTGCATAGTTACTTTACATTTCTTCAGAATCTTGCAAACATGTCCATGTAAAATTTTGAACTTTTTCCCCAATTTTCTAAGCATTTCTCCAAATTTTTCCAAGGGTTTTTTTCTTCTAATGGTTCCTCTTCCTTGCAATGATTTTCCTCTTCTTTCAGTCACTCCCATTCTTCTTATTGCAGGTTTCACTTGCTTTACTCTTGAAATAATGCTATACACTGTATGCTGTGGAACTCCCATTACAAAGAAATGTTTAACTGTACAGGATTTCCCATTTTTTGAAGTTTTAAATATAAAATCTGCCAATTATATTTCTTCAATCAAATTCATTTAATCCTTTCATTTTTATAATGGAATGTTATTTTCATAAATTTATTTGATAAACAGAATCAACAACATTTTACAAAGAATGTATACTGTATCATGAATGTATATATTTGTTTTTTAAAACTGAACAGTTTTTATTTCATTTTTAAGAATTTTAAAATTAAAAATAACTTGAATTTTATTTAATATTCCTCCTAAATAGGGTTGTATAGTTGTAAACATACAACCCTATTTTTCATCAATAGTTTTGGAAAATCATTTTAGTAAAGATTTGTATTTTCTTTCAAATACAGTAAGACCCTGCTTAATGCTGATTCGATATAATGTGGTCTGCCTAAAAAAAGCTCAAAATTTATGCTGATTCAAATTATTGTGGCATTTCATTGATTCGTATATAATACAATTATTCCCGAACATGAACTGATCTGATGAACTGAAAGGTAGCAATTCGTCGTAACTTCTAAATCTATCTATGTTTGTTTGGAAAAAATATAATTTTGGAAAAAAGTATAATTTTGGAAAAAATATAACAACATGGATGCCATAGGCAGTATCGACTTCACTTGGCAAGAATTAACTGATAAATGCATGAACAGTGTGTGGAAGAAGTTATGGCTGAAGGTACCCAAGAATTCTCAATGAGAAGAGCCTATTGCTGAATTGCTATTACTAAATTGTCAACTTAATCAATACAGCAGGACTAGGAGATGTAGACAAGCAGGATATTGTGGAGTTACTGCAGATTTCTGGTGAGATCCTTACCAACAAAGACCTTCAAGAACTGGTAGAACAAGGAATTCTTGTAGAACTGGAGAATAGTGATTATGAAAATGAAGAACCCAAAGAATTTCTCTACAGATTTTCTTAGTAAAAATTTGGTAACGATAACCAAATCATTGATCAAATTGTAACAAATGATCCAGATTTTGAAAGGAGTGCAAAAGCGAGACGAGAAGTTTTGAATGCAATCTCCCACTATCAACATTTGCTTAAGGAAAGAAAAAGAAAGCAACAAATGAAACTACATGACTTTATCACAAAAACAAGAATTTCAGAAGAGCCAGGACCTTCGTCACAAAAAATGAACTTTACATTTCTGTGTGCATATGTTTGTGTTATTTAACATATATTATTATGCAAATTAATTTAAAAATAACTTAAAATCAAAGTAACATCTGTTTATTTTTGGTCACATGCCTGTTCCCCTTTCCCTATCAACTCTGTGTTAAAATGACCTTGTTTAACACTGTTTTGTTTAGTGCTTTGTCATCTAGGAATGTATCCCCTGCATTAAGCAGTGTCTTACTGTACTGTGATATTAGAAAAAATATGTTATTTTCCAATATCTTCAATATAAAGATGACTTTAATATATCAAAATATTTAATCATTTTTAAATTAAGAATGTTCTTGAGGAATTAATTATTTGTTTTGATTAGTAATTATTTATAAAAAATGTATTGTTGGAATCATAGAAATTCAGACATCTAATTGTAAATTTTAAATTTTTCAGACAAGTGATTATTGTTCTTACTCAATTGGAAGGTAGTGGAGGATTTTCAATAGCTCATCGTTTAACACATCGTGTATCCTATAATGGAGGTTTACATGATTGGGGACCTCCTGGGACCAATCATGATCCTGCAATTGATCGTAAGGTTTTTGGCCTTCATGCTCCAAGACCACTATGACCCATTAAGTCTGATTAAAAATTTTTATGCTCATGGTAAATAGTTCCATGTACTTTAAAACATTCCATTTATTCCTTGTTATTTATGGTTTTGGTTGAAGTTATATATACTTGAAAAGTTTACAAATTAAATTAGGAAAAAATTTTATTTAGTTATAATATAATATTAATGAAATATTATTTTTAAAATATCCTAAAATTTGGTGATTTGCAAGAAATATAAATAATTTAAAATAATGTGTATTATGAAAGAAAAATGCTTAAAATAAGTATTTTAAAAAATTATGATAATATATATATATATAATCCACTTCATTAATGAATTCATTCATTATTTATTTATAATTATTTGAGAAGAATTTAAATAAATTATATGTAAGAAATTGAGACTAGTCAATTAAACCAAATATTTAATTTATTAATCAGAACATGACATTTACTATTTATACTTTTGTAAAATAATTTTGTTCCTTTTTTATGTGTTTTTTTTTTTAAAAAGAGGATTGTTCTGGGTTGAATTATTAAATATTTATTATTGTTTGTAAATGTTACATCATAATAAAGTTTTAAATGCAACTAAAAGTGAAAACACATTAGATAAAATGCAATATTTGAATAATAATAATAATANACTTTCTGTAAGGTGACCGTCCAAAGTTACTCGGCGGACGACCCCTCTCTCGTTCTCACGATTGACGATCGCGGATTTGTCAATTAGGTTTGGAATGCGACAATTATATCGTCTCACACCCCATTCCTTGGTCACACCGGCCCTATTTACGTAATAAGTTACCGATATATTGACTTTAGCTCGACAGCCGGTTTCCGTCCGGAGGGTATGTGGTCCCGGCCTCACATCCTCGTCGATAATCCACTTTCTTCAATATTGTCGGTGTTGCGTCTGTCCAATAAAATTGGCAGTCTAGCAGGAAGTTCTTGACCTCCTTTAATGGGCTGGATAGCGACTTCCCTCGTCGAGTTTCACTTTTCTTCTCTGTTCCGATTCAGAGCTCGATCCCCCGTCGACCTTTTCCGTTGACAGCCCAGATCCCTTCTCGTTTTTATTACTTTGTTTTTCTCCTCCTGTTTTCATTTTACAACGTTGTTTTTGACACCACTCCCCACTAGATAGTAAAGTAATTAAGAAATTAAGTCTTTTTTTCTTGGTCAACAGGAAAGGGATAGAAACAAAGAAAACCTTAAGCCTAACCTACATTTATAGAATTATTAATTATTAAATACAATAATATGGCCAACGGCCACACTACAACATAACGAACAAAAGGGTTAGTTAGTCTTAACTTCAATATTGTGGTTAATAACACGACAAAGGTGAAAATGTGGTTTTTCATTGTAAATAATTTCACAAGTTGAAATCAAAGTTTCCACAAACTGTAATTACGAACAAACAATTATTTATTGTGACATCGTCACAATGCCGGGCTGAAATTTGTAATCATATTTTTAAATCATTTAATTTAAAATATATGCTCGCCACCTCAAATTAGTAGTGTCTTGCCTCTGTACATTATTCTTTTCCTTCAATAATAGAGTTGTGCCGGTTATCTATTAACTGCTTTCTGGGAAGTAATTTTGAATTGAAAAAACGTGACTTCCGGTTTGTATCGGAAGTTCATATGTAGTTAAAATCCAAAAATAAAAGACGATCTAGTTTAAAAAGACTAAAATGATAAGACTGGCTCTGATTACGATTATTGTGATCCTGTAGGAGTGTTGATCAGACGTTGAATTAAAGTTTGAAGCTTAATGTAAGTGGGGTAGCGTAGTGGGAGCGGCAGGGGCGGCCCGCCCCGGGCAACACTTTTAGGGGACGGCAAAATTTCACAATAAATAATAATAATATCTTGTAAAAATTTGACTATTTCGTTTCATATTTTTGTCGCACCTACGATTCGGACCGATTGAAATGAGCACGGAATTTTTCATTACTTATTCTGTGACGAAAGTGAAGGGGGCGGCGAAATTTTCCTCTGACCCGAGCGGCTGACACCCACGCTAAGCCATTGGCGTGCCGTCATTGGAAGCGTCGCTTCCCTTGTATTTTCTAAAAAATAAATATATATTCCGCGATTATTTTCATATTTTAACGTATTTTGGATTAATTAAAATTAATATTTTATTATAACCGTGTGGCCGCCAGCGCCAGAGATCCTGAACACTGTCTGGCAACACTTGCCAAGATCACGAACTCTGTCTGGCAACACTTGCCAACAAGAGTGGCTGGCAACGTCAAAAAAAGAAAAGGCGCGAAAGTTCGTTGGATTTTGTCCGGGTGTTGCCCGAGGATGTCTGTGACAGTTCTAACCTTTTCTAATAAAGTTCTTTTTTGTTACTGTTCGTGTTTGCCTGCTTAATGTTAGATCTAAACATCAGTAGGATTGAATGACAAAGTGGTGACCCGAACGTGATCCGATTAATGAACTACCTGGACTTTCGACTGAATTGGATAGCGAACAACTCTGTGTCTA